GTGTATTGTCAGACGAGTTGCCAAGACAGAGTTATTATTATGTGTTATGTATTTATGTATTTGCCAGCCTGACTTTGGCACAGTGAGGTATTAGCACGCGCAGGTAAGCGAAGCACAACCTAGTGTGAGCTAAAGTGATGAGAATGTCTCGGTGAATTATTTGACCCAATAAAATAATTAGTACAGCTGCAAAGAAGCAGAGTGGTGAAAGCATTTTCATCAAGAAATATATATGAAGTTCCGGTTGATTTACCTCCACGCGTAGCTAAACAATCGACCCATCCAAGATAAATGTGTTTGCCTGCAAAAATACACCCTCATGCAAATAGCATACATAAAATTCCTCCCGTGTCGCTTTCCTTTCTTCTCCCTCGCCAGGCTACCTGCCATCTCACACAGACATCAAGCTCTCTGATGAAGCACCCCATGTGTTTTAATGTTGAGAGTCTATGACCGACTCGAAAGCAATACATCTTCTTTGGCAGTTACTTCCAGCAAGCTATGAAACCACGGTCACAATGAATGGTCTCGAGTGTTTTGCTACCCATGCATGGATGGACCAGTTCACACTGTGCTGCCTAATCCCTCTGAGGAGACTGTACAGATTTATACTTGCTTCTTGAAAAGGAACACTTTTTGACTGAAATACTTGTATTTTTGCAAGGACACTGATCTTTTTATGTAAATAATGTACATCCATAATGGAAGAAGTCTCAGCTGGTTACAGCTGCGCCTGCCCAAATATGAAAATATCAAATGGGAGTGATGTGTAATCATATCTCAAAATATTCTACCGTTTCTGTTTTTGGACTTGTGTTTGTGGAGTTTACTTTATTTAACTATGTGGAAATAGCTTATCTGAGTAAGACAGTGAGGGGAGCAGATTCATTAAGCTCTGTACAATCAGTAAATCTTATCAGGAGATTCTCATCAAATGAAAGCTTGCAATATCCAGGAGATGAAGGAGAGCTCCTAGTCCCAGATCTGTGTATTCCATCAAGCCTGCCTCTGTGCCGCTCAAAATGTTATAATATGTGTCATAACAAAAATAAGAACAGAAGATTATAGTAGATGGGTATGCACAGCAGATGAAAATCCGAGCAATCCCTCTTGTCTAGTAGACTCAAATAAGTCATTTTGGTGACAATGAAGGCAGCGGAATGAATGCTAACGTCATAAATGTTACCCTGCTTTAACGCGAACAACACACTAGTGCTCTAAATCATTGTTTTGAGCTATTGTTGCAACGGTAGTCTTATATTTGATTGTCATACGGTCAATTTTAACTGTTGCACAAAACAGTGACTTTTACACTTTGTATTTATTCATTGCCAGAAGCATTTCTGGTGTATTCGGGTTTCTATACAGAGAACAAAATGTAAATTTTCAGAATAATAACACTGCAGCAGACACTCACTGTAATGCAGTAAAAAAAAGTGCTAAATTTACACTTTAGTTATTAGATCAAGGTTTATTTTCAGTTTGTCGCCTCCTTGACACAGTTATTACTTACTTTTCATATTTTCTTTGAACTGCTGGTACTGTGAAGGATGTGGTGCCTTTTTATAGGAAAAGAGTGAAACTGTGGATTTTTGGATTATTGTAATTCACTTTTTATTTACTCTGGACTGTTTATGATATTAAGATGATACCAACATCTACACATAGCATTTCATCGGTTTACTGCAATGCACGGGAGCCTGCAGTCTGTTTAAGGTTTACCCCCAAGGACTCGGAGGACAAAAGCCTGCAGATTTGTTCATCTCGTTCGCTGCAAGGGACACAGAGATAGAGAAGACATATCTCCTGTCAACAAGGCTCAGCCTACGCACACTGCTTTGGTCAGCTGCTGTCTCTTTGGGATAAGTACTAAAGTTCTTCTTCATCAAACTTTTCTTTTTAAGTGTTGTCAGCATCATATGTCAGTAAGACAAATTGACTAGAGGCCTCTCCATACTTCTTCCCTCCAATCCTCCAATTGAGCCTGAAGCATAAATAAACTCGTCTTCAGACAAACTCTCATCTCTCCACACGGTCATCTGAAGATTTTTTTTTTTTTGTGCTTGTTATTTATTTAACAACTATTTTTGTTAAGTCCAAATAATTAACCTGTGAATACGATTGTGAACATATTTGCATGACCTTTTTTTTCTATTTCAAGCTACCTAAATATGTCTTAGGTAAAAAAAAAAAGAAAAAAGAAAAGAAATGTTAACAATGTGAACTGGAAAATGTTATGTTTCTCAACAGGCTAGACTAATCATTCATTATAAGTGATGTGATTATTCAGTGGGTTGTTACTGTGTTTTTCATTTGATCTTGCAAAAGTAACCATAATTACATAAATAATAAAGGAGAAACACAAAAAGGATTGCAGTGTGGCTGCTATATTTCTGCTGTCTAAACCACGTAGTTAACTCGCAGGCTAATCAGCAAGGCTCATGAGGAGAAAAAGTAAGGCTCTACCCTAGCCGACTGTGAGTCTATAACAAATTGGTACTTTTGATTGATAGGCACGCTCACATTGTAGAATTAGTTGCTTCTTCTTCTTTGTCTCTTAACAAGTGTTGCTTAGCATGCCTGAAGTTTCAGTGCAGCCATTTGCATAATACAATGGGGCAGAGCGAGAGGACAATGAAAAGCACCAAGTAGCCTGGAGTGATTCTAATGGGATAGTTCCTTGGCTCTCCCACTGTGCAACAAATTAATTATCCCCTCTCCAGGAAATCAACACACACACACACACACAAAATCAACAAGGAAGATTTTCCCAGTCTGGGTAGCACCTTGAATGAAAAATGTCCCACAACAATAACCCACAGCAATATTGTGTTAGCCACAGTGTGAAATTGATGAGCATGTTTCCTTTCATTGAGTGCTACATTACAGTGTCTGGCTGCAGCGAATCATCCATTAGTGATTGTCACCGTTCAATTTGATTGTGCACTGCCGAACATCCCAGGGCAGTTAGAGAAAGGCCTTGGTGTTAATTCAGACTGAGAGCAGGAGCGAGAATAAGACTCTCGGGGCGTTGATGGCTGTTGGAGTGATGAAGATTGGTGTGCGATATGAAGCTGTTGAAGTGGCAAACAAAATGCAAAACACAGAAACAAGGTCCTGGTTGCTGCAGCTTTGTATGTGAAGACATATTTCAGCCAATCAACCACAGTGTTTTATGCTCCAATCTCACTGTCTTTCACATTTCTTTTGTAACTCAGAGAAGAAATCATACTAATACCCCCGTACTAACATCTGCTTTTCATCACTTGACCACAGCCGTAGTAATTGTTCCCATTAAAAAGAAACCAGCTATAACTGGCAACTTGAATGATAGAGTGCTAGAGGTAAAATGAAGCTCAGTCTAAATGTCAGATGGGAATCTTCACATGGGTGTTATCACACTTCTGCCCATTAAATCTGACTTCAGAGCCTCTGTGGGATCATTAAAAGTGCAGTGGTGATCCTGATACACTGGCTGCTACATGGCACCTGTGTTTCAGATAAGGCTGTGGTGGTGCTGTTAAAGAGAAGCTTCTCGAACCCTTTGGTTTTTAGGTTTGTGTCGTCACAACCCCAACATTTTTTGTAAGCACTGCGAGCCATTTCTTAATCTTACATGTTCCACTGTTAGGCTTACTGTGGGTGTATGCATAATACAAAACATAATTCCATATAAAAATACATTTATTTTGAACAATTTCAAAATGGCAATTTGTTCACAGTAAGAAATGTGATTCCAAACAAGACGATTTTATATAATTGACAAAAAGGAACAATATCATAGAAGTTTCATGTTTCATGCACAACTCTGGGCAAATGCACAACTAGACTATAAGACAAGGTGTTTAATAGTTTGTTTAATGTGTCAAGTAAAGTTTAAAATCACAATGATATATATATATATATATATATTTATATATACAGTACTGGCTCACCCCAATAAAAGTCTTTTATAGTCTTTTATCACAGATAATTAGGGCATGCTACTGTAAAAAAAAAACCCAAACGAACAAAAAAAAACCCCCAATGAAATTAAAAAAAGTGGACATACATCTTGCTGTGGAACTTAAAATCAAGGAAAGACACAACTGCCTGCTCAGTGGGCTGCCTTAACGACAATGTATGAAGATGCTAGTGTACAGATTTAAATTCCATCTTATTCTATGTACATGTTGTCGATATTTCCACTTGTAAGGCCAGACTTTCATGATGTTGTATAACATATTCTGAGAAACAGTCATTGAAAGCACCATGTTATCTAACAGAGCAGAAACATACATCCCTGTCTTATACTCTTTACCAACAGTCACATATGTATGCATAAGCATTATATCTACAACTCAAAGACCTCTAGTTTTAGGATGGTAACGTTTAGCTTGAGCATAAAGTTTAAGAGGTTAATAGAATAAATTATATGATTTAAAAAAAAATCAAACAATCTATTATATTTTTGTCTTATATTATAGTCACACTCAGGAAAACAGTGACGTGAGCCAAAATTACTGAGACTGTGTACAATGAGGATCTTGTCACCTGAAATGATTGTTTCAAAGACAGGGACCAGGTTTCCAACCACTCGCAGTCAGTTGCCTTTGGTGGATGAAGACAGCAATAAAACGGCAAAAAGACGGAGTCAGTCTGCTATCAGTCTGCTTTCAGTTTGAATGTAGCTGGCTCTACATACACAGAAATTCACATTAAACGGAAATTCACACAAACTATTTACAGAGTTCAGCCAGAACCTCATAGATCTGAAACAGAATTTCCTCCACAAATAATGACATCATTGCCGCAAAATGACAGAGATGGTCAGCAACCTTGCTTTCATATAGAGATATAACCAGAATACAACTTGTTGGCAACCAGTTGAGTCATGTCTCCTATTCCAAAGAGATGCGCCGCAGATGAGTTGTGCTCATTGGTGCAGACTGACTCAGATTGATTGCATTGTGTTACAATCTGTGTTTATAAATTACACTGCAGTTTTATGCAAACCTTTGCTAACGAGTCTGAAGGTGACTGCACTCAGTCTGAGTCAGGCCATGATAGTTTAGAGACAAAGGTTGAAGGTGTTGCATGCTCAACTTCTGCTTCTTATTTGCAATTGGACGCCAAATGCAAAAAAAAATCTGATGCAATCACAAGGCCACTACCCATTTTTCATAGTCATAATGGAGTTGCAGTGCTAGTTTTATACTAGTGCGACTGAGCTATTATGAAGGAAGAGCAGAATGTAATCTGCCCCATCATGCAAGTCTTTGTTGGATGGGTTGACTATCCATTAAAGCTGTGTCCACACAACAAGTGATTCTCCAGTGACCAGTTATCTGAAACACACCAGTGACCACAAAGTCAACCTCAAGTGACTATAGATCAAAAAAACTGCTAACAAAGCAAAGTGGACAAGTCCAAGATAAACTTTTCTCAAAATTGAGGCAATCGATTGAAGTGACTACCAGAGAGATGCCGGTGATTGACTTACAACCTGGTAATCAATACAGAGCATAACCGAGGCAACCAGAGCCTGGAATGATCGCTAGCAAACAACTGTTGGTTTCAGATGCATGAATTGCTCCCTGTGTGGACACGGCTCTTCAGGATGTAACAAAGAGGAAAAAGTAAACAAAAAGTATAAAATAAAATATTGTAATTGACAGAGTTTATCAATTTTAGTCGAATTAGTATGATAGAGATAAATATGAACCTTTTTATTAGATGGAATCAGTATTTTCCAGCCTTGTTTAGTAGTATTCTAATATTCCCACAGGGCTGTCCTTACGACAACTACTGAGAAATCAATGTCAAGTTAACAAACTATAGTAAAGCCTATCCATCCTCTCTCTTGTACTAACCTCTCCATTAATAATATCCCCTTTCTTATTAACATTATACCCATATATTCCTAACACTGTTTTCTCTAGAAGGGCACCTACCAAAGCTTCCGGGGTATTTGTTTTCTAGTGCCCGGCCATGTATTTCCCAAATACTATACAAAAGGAGTAAAACAATATTTAAAGCAGCACAACATCATCTGAGTATTCATAATATTGATAATGTTCATATTAGCAATGTAGGATCCATGGCATGTGGTAAAGAGTGAGGAAGTCTTGATGGCACTTTTTGCTTGTTGCTGCACTTATTAACACATTTTAGCATTAACTGTCCCCAAACTAGAGGCCCTGTAGTCTAGCTCAGTGGATTCATCTTTATCATCTGGTATTGTAAACTAGATGCTTATTCTATCCACATGAATAAAAAAAAAACATGTCTCGGAACGATAGCAGCTATTGGCATGAAAACAAAGAAAAAAGAGACCAGTAAATAAAACTATTTCATCACAATTGAAACACAACAATTAGTACTTACTCTGTAACAGAGCTCATGTCTTAGACATTAGTACAGTTTGGAAATTCCCTTGTAACAATTCTCTCCATATTTCTGCCAATTCCACCTGAAAAAAAAGAAGAAGAGGTGAACAAATTATTAAACTGAGTAAATAAAATAGCAGGGGACTGCTGTGGCATGATTTGTTTTTTTTGTTTTTTTTAAATTAAATAGCTTGTAGAGGCTTTTATATTTAATTGCATCATTCATGCATTTTGCCTGAAACACACTAAAAGAACATGGCTTATCTGAGCAGGGCTGAGCTGGTGATGACGGTGGGCTGATAAGATACAATCGCCGTGACAAGTGGGGTCATTCAGATCGTGCAGACAGTGGCTTATTCGAAAGTTGAACTTCAGCGTCTCAAACATCTCAGTTCAATAAATTCAGCCATTTGTATAGAGCAGCCTGAACCTAATTTCATGTTCATCCTCATAAGTAATAACCTGCAATAAATTCATTAAGGTGGAGACCTGGCTGTCAGTTCAGATTTACAAAAGACATACTGATTTTTTTAGCTTTAAATTAATCTTATAAGAGGGATGTTTTACGAGTAAACCATGTGTAGCCTGCAGCAAAATGAGTATTTAATATAAAAGATAAAATGAGCTTTAAAATTGAGATTGGAATTCTAGTGCTTTTTAAAATGAACCAGAAACAGTAACTGTATATTAACTAAAGCGAGCTCTTTCACCTCTATAAAGCTAAAAGCACAGCTCAAAGAAATGAGCAGAACACTTGATTGTCACAGTATAACACAGTCGGTTAAACATCAAGTTTATCAGTCTGTTCAGTTAGGAAGCATAAACTATTGTAAATCCATTTCAGCTGCTTTGGTAACAGTGAAAGTGACAACAGGTTCACTGGAGAGGCAACAACAAGACAGCTGCTAAAAAAGGAATGTTTCTGCAGGAGGTGGTCACAGACAGTTGCTCTCTCCTTATCCCTCCCGACTGATTTTTCTCTTATTTTGCTTTTTATTAGTGTCCTTGTCACTACTGGTAGCATGAAACAATACCTGCAGCCCATTCAGGCTGCACAGGTAGCTGCTCCAGGATGGCGCATCCATACATGCCATCACAAAAACTTTGGTGTATGTCTAAGGACAGTCTCAAGATTGTGGACATGATACCAAAAGACTGGCTAATACATGCAGAGAGGTGGACAAGATCGAAGAAGGGCATCAACCACAAAACAGGATTGGCCTCTGCTCCTGTGTGTGTGGAAAAACAGGGGGAGCACTGCCAGAGCCTTACAGAATGACCTCTAGTGGGCTCATTGTGCATATTTCTGACCAAACTGTCAGGAACAGACTACGGGAGACTGGTATGAAGGGCTGAAGTCCTTTAGTGGAACCTGTGCTCACAGCCCACCACCGTGCAGCTTGGCTGGCATACGCCAAAGAATGCAAAAATTGGCAGTATCCACCTCTGATCCCCTGTTGGCTTCACAGATGAAAGCAGGTTCGCTCTGACAATGAGTCAAAGAGTCTGGAGACACCATGGGAAACTTTATGATGTCTGAAACATCATCCGGCATTACAAGTTTTGGCGTGGGTCAGTGATGATCTTATCCTTATCCTTGCAAGGTCATACAGACCTGCATACACAGACTGCTGTTTGGTACCAGGAGGGAATCCTCAGAACTTTTGTCAGACCTTATGTAGGTCTACATTGCTCTCATGTGTCCAGAGGGCATTTAAGGCAGTGATACACTGACTGGCTCTCATATTCACCAGGCCAGGGCTGATGATCTTTTCAGACATGTTAACTTCCATTTCTATATCAAATGATTCTTATTCCAGTTAGGTTTTGTTTAAAATCTAGATGGTTCTGTTTTATTTCAGACCAATACATAACAAACATTACTAATGAAGCTGCAATAAACCGTTTTTGTGACTGCTTTGAATGCAAAAATAATTAATATACAGATCTGTTCAGATTTATGTGGCCAATTGTTTTGCAGCAAACATGTTACTTTGCACAACCAGTTGTTACAAAATAACATTATCCCCTCTTTCAGCTCTGTGTTTGGTCTCCTATAAAGTTTTTATAGCTGCAAAATGTCTCAGTATTTTTGCCATCTAACTTTTAATCTTGACTACTTGCTGTTTGGTGCTGAGCCGCTGGTGTTTTTAGAGCTTTTTCACAATAAGAGTGGACTCAACATGCTAGTTGCAGATTGCATAGCTAAGGTTAAGTCCACTGTAAAGCCCTGCAAAGCTGAGGGCAGCTGCAGAGTCAGAGGTTAATTCTCTGTAGGTTCATCAATAAGAACACCTTTCAAACTGTCCTGTCACATTGCCTTTTGACACACTATTATTAGAAAACAACTCAGAATCGATTTAAGGATGTCACTTAAAAGTAACCATCAATGGAGCACATGCAGGATA